CGGAGCGCCACCTCTTTTCGTGACTCCCCTTCCTTGGGCTGGGGGGGACGGGAGGGGGGAGGGCTGGATAAATTGTGTTTATTGTATAAAATATTCTTAGTTTATTCTATTGGAGAAGCACCCGCTGGGTGCCCTGCCTGTCAGCAGTGGAGGGGTGGGCAGCAGCACGCTCGGGCCCTTTCCTGTGGCAGGCTGGGGTGACAGCATCTCCTCCTCGTGACTGTGGCCCAGCTTCCCCGTCACATCCCTCTGGGGTGACTTTTAATGCAGTGGCAGAGTCGGACTCTCGCAGTATGAAGACACAGCAGCTACAGCAAACAAGAGCTACATGCTGGCTCCTGCCTGGGAGATGGGCTTGCCCTGGGCAGGCATTGCCTCTCTGCCAGGCCCTGGAGACAAGGCTGCTGGGTAGGAGTGACAGGGGAAGCCCCAGTATCTCCTCTGTCAGAGCCAGCACCAGGATGAGCTGAAACAGCTTACCCCTGCCTCTGCTCCTGTCTCTGTCCCTCCCCTCTTGTATCTGTGCCCTGGGGAGAGAGAAAAATCCCCCTCCATACCTCCCTGCAGTAACTACACCCTTGGGAGGGGAGCCTTTCTCCACCCTTTTACCCCTCTCCCTCCAGCTGCGGGTGGCAGAGGCAGTGGCAGGGCTGGGCCACCCCAGGGCGGTGGGGCTTAGTGCCCATGCAGAGCTGGGGGCCTGCCAGAAGCAGTGCAGGGAAGGGCTAAAGCCTGCAGGGAGCCATGTGAAGCACCGGGGAGGAAGAAGAGCTCTCCCGGTCCCTGCAGCCAGCGGTCTCTGTGCTTCAGCTGGATATGCTGTGATGGCAGCAACTATTAAATATGATGGTTCATGGAGCAGGACTGCTGTGCTGTTTGTGTCCCATCACAGTGGGACACAAGGTCTCCCTTGAGACCCCCAAGAAGAGCCGGAGCTTCTCTGGCTTGGTCTGAGAACCCCAGTTGCAATCCTGGAGGCCAGAGGTCATCGCGTGATGATCAGAAGTGGACCTCTGGAAGTCATCTGCTCCAGTCTCCACCCAAAGCAGAGCTGACCATTACCCTTCCCTGATTCCTACACCCCACACCTACCCTGTCCTGCAGCAGCGGAGGGCAGGCAGGGAGGTCCTGGAGGCTGGGCTGCGATGGGCACAGGGGAACACTGGCTCACAGCCAGGCATCGTCGTAGTACTCCAGCAAGTCAAGCTCGTCACGCTTGCTTTTGCCAGCTCTGTGCAGTGCTGCCAGCCGCTCCCGGGCCACCTGGGTCCTGATGCGAGGCTGCTTGGGTTTGATGCCGTAATCTGTGGGTAGAGTGGAGAGGCTGGGCTCAGCCCTGGGGCTGCTCACGGGGCTGGAGACAACTGCCCACCTGGAGGGCTGTGTATGGAAAGGGGGTTCGGAGGGGCAAGGAAAGCACTATACCATCCACCAGGCCAAAGTGCTGCTGTGGAAGCTCCAGGGGAGCAGAGAAGTCCTCAGGGACCGAGTAACTGTCCCTGTGGAGGAAAACCAGGGGCAGGAGTGAGCTGAGACCCTATGGTGCTTGCCCGTGCTGGCACACGAGCTCCTACACACAGCTTGTCTTCACCCAGCCTGGCCAGCTCCAAAGGCTTGGTGCCACTAGTGCCAGCTGACACCAGGGCCAGGAGCCACGGAGTACCTCTGCAGGGCAGGAAGGAGAAGGAGGGGGAGGAGCTGGGAAGCACCATCACCTCTGGGGCAGGGGCCTCGGGAGGGCAGTCCCCAGGAGCAGAGAGAGCAGCAGGAGCCAGAGCCACATGGCGCAACCCGACACCAGCTGCAGAGTGAGGTCACTTTCGTTGGCCCTGGAACACCGGCTGGGTTGGGCAGGAGGCAGGCCTCCACCTGGGCACTGCTGCCTAGCCCCTCAGTATATAAGCTTCTGGTACTGGGCTGCCCAGCCCTACCCAGGCCATGCCAGCTGCTCCCACCGCTCCCCACACTGGTGCACGTTCCTCCACGCAGCCACAGCTCCAGGGCTGTACCCCTGTCCCTCACCACCACCCTTTGCCTCCCTCTCAATCCCTCCAAAAACAAACGTCGTCATCTCAGTACCTCCCTGTCCCTAGGACTGAACCCGCTCAACACCTTTCAGTCTTCAGCATCTTGCTCTGCTAAAGCCAAAACGACAGGATCGCAGTCCCTCGCTCATGGCTTTTCCATTTCCTGTATTACAGGGCATCGCTGCCAGCTGAGGTGGCAACACAGACCTCACGCGCTGCCAAAGCCCTGGGGACCTTCACTTCAGTGGCCCAATAGGGGTCTATGTGGGGGGTATATCCCCTATTTCAGCTGCTGAGGCAGGAAGGCTGAGACCTCTGCAGCCCCAGAGTCCCTCAAGGATGTCTCAGGCAGGAACACTCCTGTCACCCACTTCAGGCCAACACACCTGGCAGCTTCCAGCTCCCAAGCTCTGCACAGGGCTGGCAGCTGCCCGTGAGGCAACCCAGTGCCACCAGCTGGCTACCCCTTCGTCCTGGCCAAGGCAGCCTCCACAGCAGTTCACTGAGCAGACTCATGCCTCAACTGTCCACCAGTTAGCAGAGCAGACACAAAAAGATGGCCATGGCCATCCAGGCCTCTCCTGGGCTCTTTATGGAGTGTGGCACAGCAGTATTTGCTGAATTAATCTCTTCATTCCTCCTCTTCTCTGTCCTTAGCCAAGCTCCTGAGCACTGGCTGGCAGCCATTCTGCAAACCCTTCTAGCACGCAGTAGGTATCAGGAAAGCAGCCTGCAAACTGCAGCTCTCCGTATGCCCAAGGGAACCCCAGAAAACTGGGGACTGAAACAGGCACCTGGAGTTACAGACACTACAGTCATCACCTGAGCAACGTGTGGGGCCCTGCCCAACACAGACCTGAGCAGAAGGCTTCTAAAGGACAGTGCACTCCAGGGTAGACAACTGTAAAAGCTGCTCTTTCTGACAGAGACCTGCTGGCAACCAGATACAAGGGGACCCCATGCAAACAGGAAAGAGAAGTCCTTCAGCTCCGTCCTTTCCATTCAGTCAGTTTATTTGACAGACAAGCCCGCTCCAAGCAGATCGGCCAGGCACGGCCAACACAAGCAGGCTGCAGGTCAATCTCGGTGCCAAGAGGTGGGAGACAACACTCTCCAAAAAACACTATGCTGCCCCGCTTCGTTATAGTGCAGCCATACAAAAGGGGAAAAAAATCAAATGCTTGAAAAAAAGAGGTTGTCCCATCACCATTGCTGCAGCTGCGGAGAAAGAGGCAGCCAGGGTCCCTCCACGCATGTAGTGTCCATCATTCACAGCTAGATCTGTTAAAAAAAATTACATACGGCCTCCCTCCCCACCCTGCAGGACGGGAACTTCTCATTGAGGATTTAACTGAAAATCAGACATTATCAACATCCCTCCCCTGGACTGCTTGCCCTCCTTAGAAATGTCCAGCCATGATCTTAGCAGAGAATAATCATCTTCTTCTCATCAGCCCCAGTTATAGAAATAGATTTTCTGCCAAGCAGGCAAGTAATCCATCAGTGGCCCTGAAATAAGAGAACAGAGGGATCACACACATAGCAAGGCAAGAACTTGAAGCTGTATGTATATGGGGCAGATTCCCCCCTTCTCATTATGATAGCCAACAATCCCAAATCTCCAGTTATACAACTCGGATGAACCCAAGAATGGAGCAGTTACTTTGGCAAAGATGAGAGGCAACTTTGGGATGTGGTGTCAGAGATAGAGCAAGACCAAGTGGTGTGTGAAACGTGGTCAGCACAGCCACAGTGTGGGACACCCCTCCCTCAGAGCTGACATATCCAAGCTCCAGTGGGAAGGGAGGGGGTCTACAACATAAAAGGGGAAAACCTGCACGCAGCAAGTCAGAAGGACACTGCTGTGACACAGAAAAGAGGAAGACAACTCGGCAATAACAAGCAGGTGCAGACAGAGAAAAAACTGCAGTAGACTAAAATGCTTACGTAGCACATGGCTTAATGCAGGCTCCAAAGCCTTTCCAGAAATCACAAATGGAGGAATAAAAGTGGCTCCTGAGCTAACCAGCTTTGTGATCTCCCCAAAGAAAGGACAGTCCCACAATGTCAGGCTAATCTAATGCCATATCACTGCCATGAACCACTCCAGGGAAGGCTTCACATCAGCAGGGAAGAGGAGGTGAAATTCTGGCCCATAATAAAGGGACCCTCTGGTGAAGGACTAGGAGACACCTGGTTCAGTTCATTGGTTTACAGTTGGCTCCTGGCTGGGTCAGTATCTCTAGGCAACTGTTTACCTCTCACGTCTGCACTGCAGACTGGAGATCAAGGAAAAGAGTTCAGAAACAGGGCTGCAAAGCAGGGCTTTGGTGCACCAGCTGAGGTGCAGAAAGGGAGCCCAGGAGAATAGGCTTAGGTGGCAGAGATCGAGCTCCGCTGCCTAGCAGGGCACAGAGAGATCTACCACTGTGGTCGAGCACAGGTCCCTAATAGCCAGGAAGCAAGCAATTCATCATTTCCTGTTCCAGTTTAAAACAACACAAGCATCAGTACAGGGTGCACCAGTGCTAACCATTCTAGGGACTTCCCAATTCCTTCCTCATATTGGAAACTGATTGACAAACCTTCTGCCCAACTCCCCTGATTTTTCTCCACCCAACAGAAATGGGGATATAAGAGTGAGGCCCACTTACGTGTGACAAAGCCAACTCCAGGCACGTAATCAGCCAACAAGCGCAGAAGGAGGAGGATCCTGTCCCTAAGAAGGGAGAGAGAGTATGAACAAGTCCAGTGGGACACCTTCCTGCCCCAACTGTTGAATGCACAAACAGCAATGGCAGCTGTTACGAAAAGGCTCAGATTAACCTGGTCACAGGCACCCAGACCTCTTCAGATCTACTCACCCAGTCCCCTGAGGCTATTTCTGTTAAAAGGGAAAGTTCCAGCAAAAGCCCAGCAGGGGCCCCTTACTCTGAATATCGGTCATAGAAAGGAGATCTCAGCAGGTAGTACAGCAGTAGGATGGTCCGTCGCCTCAGCTCCGCTCGCTCTCGCCTGTTCAGGTCTTTCAGATCACTCAGCAAGCTCAGACTGGAAGGCGAAAGGCAGAGAGGTAACTGACAGCAACAGCAGCCAGCAAGGAAAAGAAAGTGGGTTTCTAAACGCCCTCCGTTCTTAGCTTCATGCACAGCAGGCTGCATGGGCTCAGAGCAGAGAGCACCGTAAGTGTTGCAGAAGATACCCTTAATGTGTCAATCTTCCAGCTTAAGACCAGGCCCAGCCCCTGTGAGTATTTCTCTCAGTAGGGTGTGCCCTGGATTGGGGAGCACAGGGAACATGATGCTCAGCCACCAACAACCTCAAGGACCCACAAAGACTCTTCCTCAGACTGACCTTGAGATGTCCAGCACTGCTGAGAGGAGCCAGGGTTTCCATGACCTTTGGCCCCAAACTCCTAAACTCAATACTAGGAACACACAGTCAAGGAATGAAAAGAACCAGAGATGCCTGACTAGAGGCAGGCAGACAAGCAATCCCCTGGGTACCAGCAAAGCTCTGCTGAGCACAGGAGAACACACTCTAAGGCAGTGCTGCAGGGGGCCTAGGGAAGGGTCCAGAGGACTTGTGTCCACAACCCCAGCGACTGAGGCTAGCTGCCAAGGTGTAAGAGAAGGGAGGAGTCCCGAGGGCCCTGCCTAAGCAGAGCAGCAGCAGGGACGGCTGCAGCCTGGGCTGGCACTGCCCTGCACCAGGGCCGAGCCCGCAGCACCCTCTGCCGGCACCCGGGGCACGGCATGAGCCCGCAGGCAGCCAGAGCAGGATACGGTGGAGCAGAGGGCGGGTAATGTAGATGGATTCTGCGATGGTTTCTTGGAGACCCAGAGGGGTGGGAGGCTGGTTCACCTCCTCTGCTCTTCGGCTCTGCGACTCCTCCCTCTGCTGGGGGGAACCCCAGTGCCGGGACTGCAGGGACGGGGCTGAAACAAGCAGACCAGGTCACTAACACAAATAAAACCTTCCTGCCATGCTTCCTTGCGCCACCCCCTCACTGCTTTCCGCACCGTGAAGATGTGAAACAGGAAAGCTTGAAGAGGTGCACACACAGCAACTGCTGTGGCTGACTGGCACCTTCAGAGCTTTCCTCCAGAGGGAACAGAGCAGGGAGAGGTACTCTTAAGGTTCGTGCTCCAGGATTGTCTCCATCCCACAGCTCCCTTGGGAAAATACAATTTAATTGCTAACCTTGCAGCACATGCCTGAATCCCCGTTGCTTTGATATCCCCCTACCCACAGGGACCAGTGACTGGCAGGATAAGCCCCAATACAAGGTTCTGCTCTTTATTGCCCACGCCCAGGTGATACATAAAAGGGCACAGAGCAGAAACAGCTCAGGCAAGGACAGAAAACAGGCTCAGCTACTTACTGCTCTGGAGAGAGCGCACAACACGGCTGGAACGCTTGCCAACATAGGTCTGATCCTTCCCTGAGGAGTTGTCTTCTGTGTCTGCAGAAGAAAACAGCCACAGGGGTCAGGCTCTGAAGGAACACGCCTCACCTCAGAGCTGGCAGCACCCTTCCCTACATTGCCATTGAGAAGACCAGACTGAAAGTTTAACCTTGTGCAAACCAGACCATCCCAAAAGGGGCTAATGCTACATAGAGCTGTCAGAAGGTGAAAAAGTAAATCTGCCTGACATTGTCCAGACATAGGATCTCTTTCCTCACTGTCAGACCAGGGGACACACAGCTTGACTTATAGTTTAGCCAGTGGTTCCAGGCTTAGACTCCTCCACCCATTCCTTCCAAACTGTAGGACAATCCTGCCACTAAGCTAACTTGTGCTCTGTAGAGGGCAGAAAGTGCAGCACAGCTCGGCTTTGCGTACAGAGGCATTAGAGCTCCCTGTGCTGCCCAAGCCACTGCTTTGATGGAGTAATTCCTATCAGGACAAGACATGTGGCCCAGCAAGGCACCAAGCCAATGATGACAGCACCGTGGGCTCACCTTGCGGGTGGAGAGGCTGCTGCTGCTCCCTGTTTAGTGGCACGATGGGAGGAGATGTCTGGATGCCAGCTTTGTACCACAGCAGGAGCAAGAGACGAAGGATGGCTCTGCAGGCAGACATATGGAAGCCTTCAATACCAGGCTAGAGCTGGATTCCTGTTGCACTGGAAAGGTGGCTTCCGCAGAAGAGAGAAACACTCAGGTCTGCTCAGGGCAACTGGCAAGGCGAGAGGGGTAAGTGTCCCCTTCTGTGGCACAGTATCCAGCACACTGCAGGGCTCCTAATTCCCCCAGCCCCAGAGACTGGCAGCTCAGTCCTGCTTGGGCTTTTTCTTGGGGTACTACCAAGGCCCCTCCAGATGCCCTTTCTGAGTGCAGGCAGCCCCTTCCCCTCCGCTCGCGGCACTTACTTAGCCAGCTGGATGAGGACAATGATGGTCCATCGGCCCATCTCCCCCCACACCCTGGCTGTCCCCATCTCTGCAAAGACCTCCACGCATTCTAGCACGCTCAGCCAGGTCAGCAGCTTCTGCTGGGGCAGCGACTGCAAAATATAGAGGGGAGGAGGGGAACAGGATGCAGATTCTACTTGGGAGTTAAAGTGGGCGGAAGCACAGCCCAGTCTGGTGGGACTCTCAGAAATAAGCACCAGATGGCCTTGGAAATCACAGCCCCAGAAACAAAAAGTGGTGCTGCCACTGCAGCCAAACTCTACACACAAGCCCACTTCTCTACCTTCAAGCAGAGGCAGACCAAGACATCACAGTATCACACAGAGCTGCTACTCCAGAAACAAACAGGGAGAACATCACAGCTGTATCTCGGACTGCCTTCTACCCCAACTGACATAGCAGGACAGTCTCCTGGGTTGTGGCACTGTGCCTGAACTCCACGGCAAAACTCTCACCTCCTCCTTGTCCCAGAGCTGGGTTACATGACAAACCTCTGCTCTAGTCAGAGTTGATGAAGGAGCAGACCTGGAGTAGAGGGAAAGGGACTCAGGGTCCACAGATACATGAGAGCAAACGTCTGCTGAATACAGCATTGGTCTAGATCCCAGGCATGAGCCTCAAAACAGAAGGTGCTCTTCCAGCCTAGGTCCCTGCTCCCCACACGGGAGCTTGCTGGTCCTGTCAACCACATGATTTAATCCATTGAAAAGCATCAATAAAGACAACACAGCTGAAATTCACGTCAGACTTTAAAAACCAGAGAAGCAAGTTTTCTGCATTTCTGTTTGCTACACACCTGACGCTCCAGTCAGAGAGCTGCCAACACCCAAACCCATACAGTGGGCAGGCTTGCAACAACAGAGACCTGTCTGGAAATGAACACCCTCCTCCTCATTCCCCAAAGGGTCTAACAAGTGCTCGGAGCCAGCCTGGGGCTCTTGCAAGACAGACATAGAAGCAGCAAGGTGCTTAAGCTTGTTTTGCACAATACCACATGCAAAAGAAGAGTCTGAGGGACGGAATCAGAACTTCAGTGCTCCAGAGCCACTGCTCTGGAAACAGCGATGGTTATTGAGCAACCCCTTTGCCTATCTCAAGTTCTAAGCTTCTCAAAAAACCAGTGGAGCTCCTGGTGCAAGTCAGGGCCTGATTTCTGCAGTTCAGGGAGTGCTCTGGCCACTCCTCCAAGGCAAGAGCTACAGAGCAGGGCTGCTGTTTGCCTGCGTTCAGAGGTTGCCTCTGGCCTCTCTACATATCTGACAGCAAAGAGAGGCCACAGCAAAGACCTGTTAGTTTCTACAGACACTCCTTGAGTTTCTGCAAGGAAAAAAGCATGTGTCCCAAATCCTTCTCCCACACACTCCAGCCTTACCACAGGCAGGCTCTGCTGCAGCTCCTTTCGCAGAATCCAGTCATTTAATAGCACTAGAAGGTTGGACGCAGAGTACACTAGAAAAGGAAGAGAACAAGAACACTGCAGTTACAGATGCACGGAAAGCAAACCAAACCGGGATTGCTGCCTCTTCCCCCAGGAGGGGATGAGGGACGAAGGGCAGCAAGACGCGCAGAGTCCTCCCACGGGGTGCTAAGATGACACAGCCAGGAGTTGAGAAAAC